ACCACGGTTCCTATGGTGACTGCAGCGCGGGCGCAGCTGAAATCTCAGGAGAAGAACAGCCACCGATGCGCGGGCTGGTGATGACAAAGATGGGGACCTGTCACACCGTAAATGCAAAAAGATTCGACCAAGCGAGCGCAGCCGGTGTGGTTCGGTAACGCCGTGAGCAGAGCTATGCCCAACGTGCCCGGTGGTGAAGGGGGGAGTGTGCCCCAAACCTCACCGCGTGCCCAGCGGCTATGGCACAACTCGGAGACCACGTCTCTGCCCAAGTGCTGGCACAACCAGCCCTTCTGCTGCGTTTCATCCCAGGAGAGGGGAGGAAAGCACTCCACAGCTTGAAGATTATCACAGGACACGAAAATTGTCTCCCGTTGCACTCTAATCCACAACTGCAGAGCCAAAGGAACCGGCCCCACTCAGAAAAACACCATAAAACCCCCAGAACAGACTGACAGCTTGAGAGCATGACAGATTGATTAGCTGCAAAAATACGAACAAGCCACATAATTTAACTTTCCTCTATTTATATTACAGCAAAGCAAACCCAGGGTGGGCTGTGCCAAGTGCTGCCGCCGTCAGTCAGGAACATCTCCCCTCCCTGCGCCAGCCAAGTTGGCGCTGCCACCAGTGTCGGCTCCCCCGGGCGCCCCCTACGCCCAAAAAGGAGACCCGAGACCACCAAGTTCACCAAGGGCCACCCCGTGTCCTGGGGCTGAACGTGCCGAGCTGGGACCGTGCACACCCGAGCCCCTGCGCTGTTTCCCAAACCAGAGCTGTTTTCCAGCCCCTGAACCCCAACACCCAGCTCTGCGGGGACCGCCAGCCCTCCAGCTGCCAGCTCACTCTCTGCAAAGTAGACTGCATGCTTTTTTTTTTTTTTTCCCCTTTTTTTTGGATGCAGAAAAAGCTGATATTTAACTTGATTTATTCCAGTAATACAGAGTATTTGTTTGGGAATGCTCCAGCATAATAACTGGAGATATTCTGATGCTGAATGTGGAGAAAGTGAGTTCATTACGCTGCACTGAGGCCAACACACGGGTACTGCTGACCCTGGGCAGAGTCAAATACTGAGCACTAAATCTGAGCTACTGGTGCCAAAGGGTTAATAAGCTCCTGCCTGAGACTGAGACTCGCTAAACCAGGGCGATTACACCCAAAGAGCTTGAGCCGCAGCAGCAGGGACTGGCAGGAGGGAGGCTGGCAGCACCCAGCATGGCATGGGTGCCAGCCCTGGCGAAGGAC